AATAACAACAATAATATTAATAATGAAGATGATGATTTGTAACATAAAATTACCTGTACGACCTTGGCCAGTGACTTAGCCTCCTTAGACCATGGTTACTTCTTGTATAAGAGGAATGGTTGAACCAGACAGCCACTAAGGTACAATCCAGATCTACAGCTAGACCTATATATGATCACTGATGATCACTGTAGTCCCTATGGTTCTAAGACCTATAATCCTATAATCCAATTCTCAAGTATTAGAACACCCAATGGGGGTAATTGATGATTACTACCAATTACCAAAGTCTTGTAAGGCTATTGGGAAAGACTGTATGGATGACTATAGTGAAAAGTACTCTAAAGATTAATCCTTGTGTGTTCTCCTTTGACTTCCCATGGGCTTCTGATAACTCACAGAGTGCTCCAACAAGACACTATTTTTAGCCATTTAAAAAGTGTTGCCAGGTTGGCCCACTTCTTCCCACTTAGGCAGAGTGGGCACTATTGAAGAAGAATTTCCCTTTAAAGGCAGCAGTGGTAGAAAAAAGAAATGCATTCTTTTGTCTTATGTATTGTCCCTCGCCTCTACCACTACAGGAAAAGGCCTGTAGCCTCAATTTTGTAGGTAATAATAACTGTAAGAACTAATAGGAGTTGCATATTTTATTGACATGTCCTAAACATTCTTCTTTCTAAGAACTTCCCATGGTACCTGAGAAGAGGCATTGCTGTTTCCTGTATCTCAGATACATATCATATTTGGAGCAAATTACCTTTTTCATATCTTCCAATTCAATTCAATTCAAATAAATGAATATGAAACACCTAATATGTGCCAGGTACTTTACTGGATGCCAGAGAGACAAAGATAAATCCTCCAAAATACATATTTAGCATATGTTAGCAGCTAAATTGAAAAATCCAAATTATGTATCTCCCTGAGCACCTAGTCCAGTAATGTGCACATAGTCAATATTTTTTTAAATGTTTGTTTAGTGAATGAATAAATTAGTAAATGAGTAAAAGCATACTATTGGCCATGGTTCTAATACAACTCAAGTTCTTTAACCCTTGAGTACCACGAGAAAACCAACCATCTTTAAAACCTGTTATTACTTAATATTGTTTATCTGGGCTGTTGTGCAAGTAGGAACTAGCTGTCTATAAGAACCAGATAGGGAACTTTATTAGTATTTTTATCCATACTAGCTTTCCTCAAAAAGTTGAGTCTATTTTTTAAAATCAAATTTCATTTTATTTTCAAAGATCCATCTTCTCTCCCTCTCATCTCCTCACCCTTAATTAAGAATGCAAGGGAAACAAAACCTGTATTATAATCATTTATAGTCATTTAAAACAAATTCCATGGCCATGTCCTCCCTCAAAATATATCAATCTGTATATTGTGTCAGGAGGTGAGTGGCAGGGCTCATCATGAGTACTCTGGGATTGTGGTTGGTCAATGTGTTTGGATAGAGTGCTGGGCATGGAGTCAGGAAGAGTCACCTTTCTGAGTTCAGATCTGGCCTCAGACACTTGCTAGCTGTATGACCCTGGGCAAGTCACTTACCCCTGTTGGCCTCAGTTTCTTCAACTGTAAAATGAGCTAGAGAAGGAAATGGCAAATCACTCCAGTATCTTTGCCAAGAAAACCCCAAATGGGGTCATGAAGAGTCAGACATGACTGAAAATGACTGAACAATGACATATTGATCAGAAATCTTAAGTCTTTCAAAGTTTTTTGTCTTTCCAGTATTGCTGTTATATATAAATTATCTTTGGGTTCTGTACACTTTGTATCAGTTCATGCAACATTTCCCATATTTCTTTGAAATTATCACCTTCATCATTTCTTACAGTACAATAATATTCCATCACATACATATGCTATATCTTGTTCAACCATTCCCCAAATTATAAGGACAGCTTCAGTTTCCTATCCTTTGCCACCACAAAAGAGCTACTATAAAAAGTGTTTGTTCATTTGTTTTTGCAGAAATAAGTCCTTTTCCTCTTGTTTTGATTTCTTTGGCATAGAAACATGGACACATGTCAGGGTCTTTGAGCTCTGGATTTATTAACTGAGCTTGTGTAGTGTTATTTAGAGGTACTTTGCCCTAGGAGGAACTCTGATGATTTTGTGCATTATTTGGAATTCTATATTTCCTTTTATTGGGACAGTTGTTACAGTTGGGGATTCCTGAAGAATGAGATCTCTTTTTGGAATTGTTCTCTTCTAGGACACATTAAAAAATCTGAAAGGGCATAGCCTAAGGAAAATCATGACCAAGCTAATCTAACTACACAGTGAGAAACACTTAGAAATTAGGGCCCACAGTCTAGAACTGAGTAATTTACTTTTAAATGCACTCCAATTACCTTGCCATATTATATTATTCTTGAATTTTATATTTTATTTAACCTTGTTAATAACCTCATACAGAAATCTTCTCTTAATTTCTTGCATATGTAGAAAGCATAGGCAGAAGAGGAGAAGGGAGAAGGAAGTAGGCAATGCAATGAGGAACTCTGATATGGTAGAAGTAGTTTGAATATGGCAGATCTCTGAATGTGGGGAGCTGAATTGCCTCAGGGGTCAGGAACTTACAAGAATGGGGCTAGAGTGATGAAAGAAGTTTAGAAAAGAGTGGGCAGCAAGGTGGTGCAGTGGATAGAGCACCGGCCCTGAAGTCAGGAGGACCTGAGTTCAAATCCAGTCTCAGACCAAACACTTGACACTAGCTGTGTGACCCTGGGCAAGTCACTTAACCCCAATTGCCTAAAAAAAATAGTAAAAGGTGAGAGGCAGCAGGGCATAATGGAGAGAGCTGTCCTTGGAGTCAGAAAGATGTAGATTCAAATTTCACCTGTGCCACATACTGGCTGAATGATTGTGTTAACCTTTCAGTACTCTAGACAACTCTCTAAGGCTAAATATTACACATTAGTTGCTGATCTGTGTTGATAGTGGGAATTCCCTCACCAGACATCTCCCTACACCAATGAAATCACAGGTCCAAACAGAAGAGAGGCATGAAGAAAGGAAGATATGAAGGAAGAGAGGCAAGAAGTCCAGCCCTGGTGTCAGAGGCAAAAGTCTCTGAGAAACTGGCCTGATTATGGTTTAGTTGACTACTGTAAATTGGTGGTCTTGGTATGAAAGTCAGGTCCTAGATGTTTATCGGAGATATAACATTCTAAGGAACTATTCCAACCCCCCAGTTGAGAAAATAGACCCCCGGGAAAAAGGAGTAGAGAAAGAGAATCTGTAATCATACCACAGATAATTTCAGATCTGGAACAACAGAGCATGTTATATAAGCACTATATTTAAAACAAAAAAATATAATAGGAATTTCAGAATTAAGTGGAAGCCTGGGATTAGTAGTTCAAAGAAGCAAATGTTCCTTTCAGCCTTGAGATAGAATTGGTACTCTTCTTATCTTTAAGCTAGAAGGTGGACTTGAGTCATGCCTAGGCATTCTTAAAGGGATATTCAGTCTTCCAGAGATAGGAACTCAAGAGGAAGGACTGGGGACTGCAAGAGCTGAATAGCAACAGCAGGCAGGAGATAGCAAGCCCAGAAGTCATCCAAGATTTAAGAAGATAAAACAGAAAGAGAGACTAAAAGAAGAAACTAAAAGGAAGGCTGAGTAGTGGTAGAAAAAGGAAAGATCATGGAGGGCCATCAGGCTCCAACAGGCACCTCAAAGCATAAGACTCATGATGAGGCCACTTGTTGTATCTACCTCTTTAAGGATTGTGGAAAGTCTAATAAAAGGGGCAAGGTCCAACTTCCTATCCCTAGATCTATCCTATAACAGATAACTACAACATACTCTCTTTTTGTTTATCTAAACAATTCTTGCATCATGATTTTGCCTCAAACATAAAGCCTAGAGGTAAATGAAAATTTAAATTAGAGCAGAGAGCTAGACCATAGAATAAAGTGGGTAAATGAACCTGATGGCCATTATAGTGCCTCTCAGCTAAAAAGTAAGCTAATTGTTTTTAACAGTGTGGCTGATTAAATTTCCAGAGAGAAAGGGTATAGAGAGAAGTCAGTGACCAAAGAAAAGAACATATCCTCACCTACTCCCTAGGGAAGAGATAGGAAAAGCCAGAGAAAAATTCAGTTATCTCTCATAACAGGGGAAAGGAAATAGAAAGGATGAGGGGAAAGGAAATAGAAAGGATGAAGTAGCGTTGGGCCATCTCTACCTTATACAGTGACACCCATCCGTATTACAAAAAGAACTATTGAACTTAGCAGATATCAGAAAAGCAAATTGACATAATATTATTTCTAGGGTAAAAGTTTGCTTAAATAAATAAATAATCAAATAAATAACAAACAGATAAATAATTCAACTCAAGGAGCATCTATTTTATGTGAAACTTCAGATCTCGCAATAAAGTAATGGATAATTAATCACATGTATTCTAGTTATAGATTTAAATAAAAACACAATTGAAAGATTGCTGTTATTCGGTCCAATAAATACTTTATCTACCCAAATGTAAAAAAATATCCCAGAAAACTATGAAAAATGTTACCCAATTGTTTAAATTAAATCAAAATACTGGAGTCAAATAAATCCATCATGGGTTTGAATAATGGAGTCTACTTAGTGGCTAAGCAATCGCATTCGCATTTTAATCTAAAAAAAATGCCTGAGTTACTAATTTTGCAAATTGAGACAATAGGCCAACCCCTGCATTTCTAAACTATCAAAGATTAAAAAAAAAGATTCCCTTGAAATCTGCATAGGAACATGACTTACACATTTGGTAAGGCAGTTCTATACTGGGATAGATATATCCTGGTAGCATCCAGTACAAACATATTTATCATGCTGCCTACAGACTTAACAAAGGGAATGTTTTCTTTTCTGGTGTAACACACATCCCATTGACTTGAAAACACTCCTGTTGACTAGCAGGCTTCTGAAATAATTTAGTGTGCTTTTGAATATATTCAGTCCAAAATAAGGTAAGAAAACATCTGTTACTTACGTTTTTGAGTCATCCCACAGCACACAATAAGGATTCAAAGTACCTTAAAAAAGAGAAGAAAAAAACAAATAGAACTTGAGTAAATAAAATTTTAAGAATAAGGCATTATAGGAAATGCAAACCAAATTAGATATGATCTTGCAGTATGGTGCTTGAAAAATCCTCCTCCTTAATTTTAATAATTTATCCTTTATTTTATTTCATGGATGTAATTTTGCATTTTAAAGTTAGACTAAATACTCCTACATAATTTCAACCATAATAATAGATTAATTGCTTTCAAAGCTTAGGTTTTTTTGACCTATGATTATTAGGAGAGACAGTGAGGTAGAGGACTGGTCTCAGAGTTAGGAAGACCTGGGTTTGAATCTTGCCTGTAATAATACACATTTTCTATCTGACCATGAGAAAGTGAATTAATGTCTTAATGTCCAAGGCAACCCTCTAAGATTCTAGGAGACAGAAGCAATGTCATTAGAAGGAATTGCCTACACTTAAATAAATAACCAAATAATCAAACAGATATCTTAAAAATCTCTATTACAGAACAAAAAGAATTTTTAAAAATTAAGATCATTAGAAAATAAGTTCTGCAAAGTTGAAAATTCTGGTAAACTCACATATTATGTTTTTATTTTGAAAGATACACAATTAATTTTTCTTTAGTCCAAAAATATTGTTACATAACCTTATCCAAGAAGGCAAACAACTTTCCCTATAATTAAATTATAATTAAGTATTCTAAAATCTGACATATTGTAATTTAGATGAGGGAACAATAATAGTAAGCCTCAAAATAGATTGAACCTGTTTTGCGGGGTGTGGGTGTGTGTGTGTGTGTGTGTGTGTGTGTGTGTGTGTGTGTACGTGGACATGTTTAAATTATTCTAGGTGAGTAGAATACAGTTTGGCTCAGAAACAGATAACACATCAGGAATTTCATAGTATGCTAAATAAAATCAAACCTCCTTCTTCTACCATAATTAGGTCTTTCTTCCTATCAAAGTCACCAAAGGACATCTTTCTATTGCCTTTATAACCCAAAAGTAAATGATTATTGAATTCCTATTTAATTCAAGCAAAATGGATTATAGCTGGGTTCAGAAATAACTGGTTTCATATCCCATCTCAGATATTTACTAACTGTATGATCCTAAACAATTCATTTAGCCTTTCTCTGTCTCATTTTCCTCATGTGTAAACTGGGGAGATTTGACTCAATAGCCTCTAAATTCCTTGCAGCTCTAAAACTATTTGTTGTTGTTCAGTTGTTTTCAGTCATGTCCAACTCTTCATGTCCCCGTTTGGGGTTTTCTTGGCAAAGATACTGGAGTGATTTACCATTTCTTTCTCCAGCTCATTTTACAGATGAGGAAACTGAGGCATACAGGATCAAGTGACTTGCCCGAGGTCACATAGCTAGTAAGTGTCTGAGGTCAGATTTGAACTCAGGAAGAGGAGTCTTCCTGACCTTAGGCCTGGCACTCTACCCACTCCACCTAGTTGCCCTAAATATTTGATACTATGAAATATTTATTGACAACCTGCTGTTGTGCTAGGTCCTGTAAAGGATTCAAAACCAGAAAGGTCACCATAGAATTATGGAGCTGGAAGGAACCTTTGGGATTATGTGGTCTACTCCCCTTACTTTTTATACATCAAGTAACTATGGCCCTGAGAGGTTAAATGATTTGCCAGAAGTCACATAAGTATCTAGTAGTAAGCTCACGATTAGAACCCAGGTTGCACCAACCCTTAATAAGTGCTTTACTCATTACCCACATGCTACCAAAGTAGAAAGCTGGTCCCTTCCCACAGAGCTTAGATATTTATTACAAAGATGGGGCATGTACAAATGCAATGCTGTATACATTTACTAAGTGCCAATTTCACAAAAGGCCTTGTCCTGGGTTCTTCTGGGTATACAAAGATGAAATCAAATGTTTTTTGGCAAGGGAAATAAACAAATAGATGACTTATTTCATTTTGTCTGAAAAAATTAAGTTCTTACTATGTGGAAGATATTACGTTAGGCAATAGGGATGACAGCTATGACATAAACTCTGTTGTCAAGGTTTTGTTGTTTAGTCGTTCAATTATATCTGAGTCTTTGTAACTCTGTGGACTCCTGTCCATAGGATTTTCTTGGCAAAGATACTGGAGTGGTTTTCCATTTACTTCTCCAGTGGATCACCCATCCATAGGTAAACAGAGATTAAGTGACTTGCCCGAGGTCACACTGCTAGGAAAATTTTCAGAGGCTGGATTTGAGCTCAGGTCTTCCTGACTCCAAGCCTAGCACTTTATCCACTATGCCACTAGGCTTACCTTCTCAACAATCTAATAAAGGCAATCTAATAAAAGGAAACACCTAGAAAAAAGGATAGATAAAGAAATAGAATGTGATTCCCTTAAGGGTAAAAACAATCTCACTTTAGTATTTGTAATCCTAATGCCTAGCACAGGGCCTACCAGATAGTTAATACTTAAGAAATGTAGTTGATTAAAACTATAAGTGCAAAGGAGAGGTTTAGACAAAGTGCTACAAGAAATCTGATGAGCAAGTGGTCATTTTCCCCATAAGACAGATGGATAAAGTAGATGGTACCTGAGTTGGACCTTGAAAAAAGGGAGGAAATAAAATATATAAAGGTAAGGGTAGGATCCAAGAAGGAATCCATTCTAAGTGTGAAGGCAGTGTGACCAAGGGCACAAATGTGTAAGAAGGGCAGTATGAGAATGGGAGAATAGGATTAATACAGTTTTGAGGTAACATTAAGTAGGTAAACATGAAAAAGGTGAGTTAAGGCTGAATAGGTAGGCTGAAGTAAGATCATGGAAGGTCTTTAATACCAGATCAGGAGTTATGTTTTATTTGATAGTACATGGAGTCTCACTGAAGGTTTCTGAGCCAAGAAATGACAGTAACAGAGTGGTACAATAAGAATTACTTAAGCAATTATGTGAAGGATGAATTGGAGATGGAATAGATTGGACAGACGGATAACAGTTTGATAATCATTGCAATAGTTTAGTTAACAAAAGATGAGGGCCTGAATTAGGGAAGCTGTCATCAGAGTAGAAAAGAAGACAAGAGATTTTGTAGAGGTACAGTCAGCATAACCTGGAGAGTGACTGAATATGTGAGGAGAGGGAAGAATCAAAGATTGCTCTGGGGAAACAAGCCTGAGTGATTGGGAAAATAGTGAAGTCATCAAAAGAAATAAGGTCATTTGAAGGAGATTTAGCCTTTAGTGGGAGGCATGTGGTTGGGGTGTGGGGGAATGATTCTAGAACATGTACTCTTCAATCCAGTGATCTTGGCCTCTTGGCTGTTTTATGAGCAATATATTTCATCTTTTGGCTTTGAGAATTTTCTCTGTCTGTCCCCCATATCTGGAATTTTCTTCATCCTCTGCTACGCCAACTGACTTCTCCAGCTTCCTTTAAATCCCAACTAAAATCCCATCTTTTACTGAAAGCCTTCCTAAGCTCCTCAGTTCTAATGTTTTCTCTCTACTAATTATTTCCTATTTATCCTATATGCATGTATCCTATATTTGTATATAAAATATATGTCATTGCATTTTGTCTTCCTTGTTATATTATAAGCTCCTGGAGGGCAGAGACTGTCTTTTGCCTCTTTTTATATCCCTAGCATTTTACAAAATACCTGGCTCATAGTAGGGAGTTAATAACTATTTATTGATTGGTTGATTGATTGAAAGTTCAGAGATACAATTTTGAGGTGCCAAAGGAACATGTAATTAGAGATATCTATCAATCAGTTGAGAATCTAGGACTGGAACTCTCTGGGGTTATAGATTTTGGAAATTTTCTGTGTAGAAAGAATAGTTGTAGTCATAGAAGTAGATGAAATCACCAAGAAAGATAATGTAGAAAAAGGAAGAGAGAGGTATGGGGCAGAGTACTGGTATACACTCACCTTTGATGGGGGAGAGCTTGGGTATGAGGAGCTAACGATAGAGGAGTGATAGGAGAGGTGGGAATAGAAATATGAGAGTACAGCATCATGGTAACCAAGGGAATAAAGGTTATCAAGAAGGAAGAAGTTCTTCAGGGGCAAATGTGATAGGACAAAGAGGGTAAGAACAGGAAAAACAGGGATTTTAGAAATACAGGAAAAAGGTGCAAATGAAGTGGTAGAGGAAGGAAAACTTACTTTTGGCTACTACAGCTGGAGATCAAAGAGACTTCATGAGACATTGAAATAAAAACAGATACAATGTCCATAACTAGTTTTCAAGTAATAAGATTATTTGTCATTAAAGTTCAGTAATATGGTTCCTGACAATAAATAAATGCTGTGTGTGTGTGTGTGTGTGCATGAAAGACAGAGAGGGGGGGGAGAGAGAGAGAGAGAGAGAGAGAGAGAGAGAGAGAGAGAGAGAGAGAGAGAGAGAGAGAGAGAGAGAGAGAGAGAGAGAGAGAGAGAGAGAGAGTAGCCCCAGAAGACACTTATCAGAGACAGAGAAAGATTATGGCTGGGGTTAGTCAAAGATAGCTTCAGAGAAGTGAAATTTCAGCTGAATTCTGAATGAAAATCTGGGATTGACACAGAATAGCTAAGGGAATGTTTCATGCATATTCCCTACTCTCCCCACTGAGATTATATATATTGCATCTCTTAGCTTTCTGAACAAATATTTTATTACTCAAGACAGTCTAACTTGTTGCTTCAGAGTTGTGTAGTGTATTTGTTTAGAGCTTTTGTTGTAAAGAACTCAGAACACTTCGTAGAGATTAAACAATTCCTCCTTACACAATGAGGGGGGTTTTTCCACAGTGGGGAAAGGAGCAAGGTGGAATCATGGGGGTAGGAAAGGAGTAGGTGTGGCCATTTGCACTGGAGACTTTACTGGCCTTTCCATCAATTCTAGAGCAATAAACAGTCAATGTAATTAAGGAAGAGGAGGCAATACAACCAGTTTTGAAACTGGTCCTCTCAATATTACAGATACAGAACAACTGAATGCAAGAAGATAAAAGGCAAAAGTCAGGTAGGATTCTTGCAGTAAGTCTA